CTATAAACCCTATAAGCCCTATAAATTATTTGAAGTACTTTGAAAAAGTGATACCAAAGGAATCACAACATAATATGTAATGGTAAAAAGACTAGTAGAAGTAATAGGTAATAGCAGTGGCAGTAGTGAGAGCAATAGCCATAATTACAACAGTGGCAATTATGGTGATAATAATAATCACAATAATTATAGTAATCATGACAAGTAACACGGATAAGAATAAGCAAAAATGGTGACCATAATGACAGTAGCAGTAATCATAGCAATAGTATCATTGTAATCAAGTGCACCTGAGGTTTCTGAGTACACATGGTTTGGGAAAATAGGTCTAGAGTCTAGAGTTTTCATGTGGGGCTAGGGCTCCTAGCCCTTGCAGCTTTAGGCGGAAGTGTCTCGGGCGTTAGGGGAGCAGGCGTAACGAGATTTTGAGAAGGCTTCAGCGATTTCGTAGAAGCTTAAGTCAAACCCTAAACCCTAAACCCTAAACCCTAAACCCTAAACCCCTAAACCCCTAAACCCTAACCCTATTGTTGGAAGAAGTCCGAAACCCTGAGCCGCCAGATCCTCAGCTCGTCAGCTCAGGTTTTGCATGTGGCGCCAGAAGTCTTGCAAGCAGCACTTTTGCGCCTAATGCAAGAGTTCGTCTTGATCCGGTGTTGCCGGTTGAAGAGGTGGAGTAGAGCTTATCATGCTAGCATGAAAAAGACGTTGGACCAAAAACGCATGATCTTGTAGATGCAAATGGTGATGTGTGGTGGCCAAGACGATCAATCAGGATGGCATGGTATTGAAGAGGGCAGCCTTTAGTTCCAAAGAGTCGATGCCGTGCTTGCCAAGGCTCGAAATTTTTCGAAGGGCACGACGAACTTGTCGGAGGCAACGGGCATGCCGGGCGCGGAGCGTTTGTGAAATGGGGGAATGGTGGACACTCTAGACCCCAACACCATTCAGCGAATTGAAGCCTTGAGACTATTCGGCTACGGCTCAAGCCAATTTTGTTCAAGCAAGGCTGCTAGTGTCGTCATATTTGCTACATCTCCGAAGCAATGACTGACGCAGCTGTGAACATTCTCGCCAACATGACCGAAGCGGACGCACCTTTGACAGCAACTGAAGATGCAGGTGCTGTTGCTTGGGTGTTGACGTCAACAGCCTTGGTTTTTTTGATGACGGCGGGGCTTGGCTTCTTTTATGGTGGCCTGGTACGCGACACCAACATTATCAACACTATGATGATGAGTGTGGTTTCCATGGGCATTGTCACACTGACTTGGGTGGTGTTTGGCTTCTCATGGGCGTTTGGAGACAACGGCGAGAATGGCATTGGTCTCTTCATTGGCAAC